GGCACCAGCCACATACAACAGAGCTGGTGGGTTCCAATCCAGCCCAGGCCTGCCAAACAACAATGACAACTATAACCAAAAATAGCTGGGCGTTGTAGTGGGTACCTGTAGTCCCAGCTAATTGGGAGGCTGAGGCAAGAGAATCACTTAAGCCCAAGAGTTGGAGGTTGCTGTGAGCTGTGATGTCACAGAACTCTACCAATGGTGACATAGTGAGACTCTGTCTCAAAAAAAAAAAAAAAAGTACAGTGGTAATATACATGTGCCAGGAAGAAAAATGAAGCTCAGTGAGAAGAGGAAGGGTGACAAGAGGGACGGCATGGGGAGCCCAAGGGACTCTCTGCAGATTCATTAGTCCTCCTGAGAAAAGTCTGACTGACAAGGGGTTTGGTGCCCAAGAACAAAGTGATTTGGGGATATTCTAGTTTCCTGTGCTGCTGTTGCAAATCACTACAAACTTGGGAGTTTAAAACAATGGAAGTTTATTTTCTCTTGGTTCTAGAGGCCAGAAGCCCGAAATCAAGGGCTGAAATCAAGGTGTCCCCAAGGTCACACTCCTTCCAGAGGGGTTAATCCATTCATTGCCTCTCCCATGCTCCTGGCGGCTGCTGGTGATCCTGGGCCTCTGACCTCTTCCCTCCAGTCTTTGCCTTTGTGGTTACATTACCTCTTCCACTTCTTTCCATGATCAAATTTCCCAGCACCTCTTTACCCATAAGCTTCATATTATTGTACTTAGGAGCCACCCACAAAATCCAGGCAGATCTCACCATCTCAAAATCCTTAATCACATCCACAAAGTCTTTCAGGAGGAGGGGTGCACATAAGGTAATATTCACAGGTTCCAGGGATCAGGACCCAGATATCTCTTGGGGAGCCATTTTTCAGCCTACCATAGGGAGTTATTTGTAGGTTTTATTTTTCAGTGTAAATCTAGTTACCTTTAGTCAACCAACAAATCTGTATATCTTAAAAAGCAACAAGTCATTTTCACTGTGGGCAAAGGCTTATGAAGCAGCATCCCCAGAAATCAATCCATGATGGGCTCAGAGCCTGTGGCTCAAGTGGCTAAGGCGCCAGCCACATACACCTAAGGTGGCGGGTTCGAATCTAGCCCGGGCCCGCCAAACAACAATGACGGCTGCAACCAAAAAATAGCTGGGCGTTGTGGGGGCACCTGTGGTCCCAGCTACTTTGGAGGCGGAGGCAGGAGACTCGCTTGAGCCCAGGAGTTGGAGGTTGCTGTGAGCTGTGATGCCACAGCCCTCTACCCAGGGGGACTTGAGAGCTTGAGGCTCTGTCTCAAAAAAAAAAAAAAAAAAACAATCCATGATGAAAGAGAAGAGAGAGATGACGGGGAGGCAGGGACACAGCCAGTGATGAACGGTCTCCGTCTTCCCAGTGCCCGCTGGTCACGGAGACAGAGGGCAGAGGCTTTAGAGTCTGCTGTTGGCTTGTCCTTTTAAAGACTACATGTTAAAAATGGGGAACGACTTAGAGATAGAGCCTTCCAAACTGATTTTCAGGATTTTCTATGGAAAGAGCAGACCAGCATAGCCAGTTTTATGTGAACAGAAGATTTTGTTCAGAGGGAAATGGTGGGGAAATGCAGCTTGGTTGAGGGCGGGGGCCACTGGGCATGTGGGAAGAGAGTCCACCTTCTGCTAGGGTTCCCACGGGGACACATCTTTGAGCTGTGAGAGAACGGAGACCATGAAGAGGTCGGCCTAGTGATGGGAAAGGCAAAACGGGAGGCATTCGGGTAGATACTGATGACTCCGGTCATAAATGTGCTCTCGGATATAATGCGCACCCACATTTTCCCCACACTTTCTCCTCAAGGAAGCGGCCAGCTCTTGGCCAGGAGAGACATCTGGGGGGGGTTAACACTCCCGGGCAGCACCTCCTGCAGCTGCCAGCTCCGTGAAGGCTGCCCCTTCCCTCTCTCCTGGGAGCCCTGCTCTTCTTGCCACATTGGGGGATGTGGCTGAGATAGCCATGATGGGGCCAGCAGGGTAGTAGCTTATGAGGCCGCTAGGCCTGCAGGCAGCCCTTGGCCCTTGCCCCACATAGCCATGGCCCACCTGGCCAGCCCTGCTACCACCCCTCCCCTGATTGCAGGGCCTAGGAGAGGCTGCTCCAGCCTGCTTCTATCCCAGATCCCAGATCCCCGGTCCTCCCTGACTGGAAGCCCCCTGGGCTCACCTGCTCCTGAGCCACACTACCCAGGTAGAAAGCATGTCCTTATTTTTCCATAAAAGTTTGGGTAAAATAGTGTGCTATTTTACCCAAAAAAATAGTATTGTGCTGATAAACACAGCAAAATATGGTGACACCCCTCGGGCTCTGCATCGTGGAACACGATCGGTCAGCCATCTTACTCAGAGGTCCTCCAATTCTCAGGAGCTAACCCCTGGCAGGGAGCCCTCTCAGAACCTCACACCGCCTGCAGCAGACCACGCCCTGGTCCAGGCCCAGGTCCTCTGTAGAAGGCAGTGCATTAGAACATGAGGAAGATCCTTTCTCTCTGTCTGGCATTCTTCCTCGTGTGTTCTCCTCATCTGCAAAGTGGAGATGAAATACGTGACTCACACAGTTAGGGAAAGGGTCTGGCACAGAAGCAGGTGTCAGTGACGTTTGAGAACTCAGAATTGATGATTTTAGGACCAGAGGTGGGCAGGCACAGTGGCTCACACCTATAATCCTAGTACTCCGGGGGGCTAAGGAGGGAGGACTGCTTAAGCTCAGAACTGAAGACCAGCCTGAGCAAGAGAGAGACCCCATCGCCACTAAACGTAGATAAATTAGCCGGGCATTGTGATGGGCATCTGTAATCCCAGCTACTCAGGGGGCTGAGCAGGAGGATCGCTTGAACCTGGGTTTGAGGTTGCCGTGAGTGAGGCTGATGATGCCAATGCACTCTAGTCTGGGCAGCAGAGTGAGACTCTGTCTCAAAAAAAAGGAAGAACCTGGAAACCTGGAGGTATTCCCGGTAACCAGCCCCTTTCTGATTCAAGTTGTCAGTCACCTTTTTGCCAAAATTTGTGACTCTATTAATTTTGAGTATCTACGAAAGAAAAAGCAAACATAATTCCCACGAAAATGTCGTTTACTATGTTCTCTACCTTTCTTTTCCAGATAGTAACAAAAAATAATCCAGATGGGGTGCAGGTGCTGTAAAATGATACAAAGGTAAGGTTGAAAAAATATTTCATCTAAAGAGAGGAATTCATGATTGTCCTGGAGTCACTTTTAAAGACCATGCCCCAATTCAGTGAATTTATCTAACCTGGGACACAATCAACAGTGCTGGATAAATTAAGGGTTTGGAACTGTTTTGATAACATAAGAGGATATGTGGCCTAGATTTTTAAGCTTATTTTGCTCCCTTCCCCAAGCACATTGGGAACACCATCATTCTCTAAGAGTGAATTTGGTTGGTGTTGAATTTACGTTTCTCCAGAGATCCTCAACGCAAAGAAAAGCTGGGGTTTCAGAGGATGCCTGAAATGGCATTGCTGAAAATAAATCGCCCCAAACGCATATGTGCTCTTAATTTTGTCCATATTACATCTCACAAAAGTTTCAGTAACATGAATAAAATACATAAGATAAAGGGAAAAAAATTAGCTGATGGTCTTGCTTCCTTAACAAATAAAGCTATGAGTTTTTGTTTGTTTGTTCTGAGACAGAGTCTCACTTTATCACCCTCAGTAGAGTACTATGGTGTCATAGCTCACAGCAACCTCCAACTCTTGGGCTAAAGTGATCCTCTTGCCTCAGCCTCCCTAGTAGGTGGGACTACGGGCACCCACCACAATGCCCAGCTATTTTTAGAGGTGAGGTCTCACTCTGGCTCAGGATGGTCTCAAACCTGTAAGCTCAGGCAATCCGCCCACCTTGGCCTCCCAGAGTGCCAGGATTACAGGCATGAGCCACCATGCCTAACCAGAAAACTGATTTTAATTCTATTTATACTCCAGACCCCATACATTTATAAGCTTCACTCCACTGTAGTCATAATGTGATGTTTGGCTGGCTGACTTTCTTTCTTTCTTTCCTTCTTTCATTTTACTTACTTATTTATTTTTTGAAGACAGAATCTCACGATTGCCTCGGTAGAGTGCCGTGGCATCACAGCTCACAGAAACCTCAAACTTTTGGGCTTAAGCGAATCTTTTGCCTCAGCCTCCCAAGTAGCTGGGACTACAGGCACCCACCACAATGTATGGCTATTGTTGTTTTTGTTGTTGTTGTTGTAGTTGTTTAGCAGGCCCGGGCTGGGTTTGAACCTGCCAGCCCCAGTGCATGTGGCTGGTGCCCTAAGCACTGAGCTATGGGCACTGAGCCATGTTTGGCTTTATTTTGTTGTTGTTGTTGTTGCTGCTGTCATTGTTTTAGCTGGCCCGGGCCAGGTTCCAACGCCATCCTTGATGTGTGTGGCCAGCACCCTGCCTACTGAACTACGTGTACCACCTTGGCTTTATTTTTTAAATATTTATTATAAATATCTTTCATGTAACCACAGACTTCATATTTATGAGTATAATAACTGAAGAATGATCCCTCGTGGGATTATTACCATTAGTACTTAACCTTATATGTCCCTATTAGTGGGCATTCCTTTCATTTACTTTATTTAAGATTCCATGAACCAATTTGCATTTTACCTCTCCCTCCATCCCCACTTGGATCTCTTCTTAAGATCTATTTCCAGTGATAGAACATTTTTATACCAACTATATCTATATGATTTCAACACACTTAAATACATTTTAAAAGTAATCACAGGAATTAAATTAGCAGGGATAGTAGAAAGAAGCAGAGCCTGTGGTAGGAAGTATGAATCCTGGGGCAACCCTGACTACTTTTTGTTCATTTTTCTCACCCCCCAGCTATCTCTTTGATCCAGTTCAACTGCCCTCCCCTGGCTATGTCAACGAAGTAAACAGCTGCAAGTTGGATGAAGAGGACACTGTTAAATTAAAAGGCAAACAGAGCAGCGAATTCCTGGTGCAGAAGAATGACCCCCCGAGGGAGGGCTTGAGGAGGACCGCGAGCAGAGGCAGAGGCACTGGTCCACAGGAGGCCAGCTGGCCACAGCAAGGGTGGCTCCCGCAGGGGGACTTTGCAGATGGTGCTATCAATGGCATCAGCCCCACTGCTGCTCCGCAGCCCGGTGGGAACCCCAGGCCCACCCAGGATGGCAAGGGCTCCTGGGCCAGTACTGCCAACAGCATCCACCCAACTCAACCTTTCCTGGAAGTGGGGAGCACCAGGAACCAGGACCGTGTGCTGCCGGCCTCAGAAGCAACCCAAGTCACACACAGCGGAGACTCCAGAGCTACTTCCAAGGCACAAACTCTTGGCTTAGAAGCACAAGAGCACGTCCCCCAGATACCAGCCCCAGATTACCCTCAGCTATGGGGTCCAGCTGGAGACACTGTTAACCATGAAGAAAAAGATTGTCTTTTTGAGAACCACAGTGCAGATGAGCCCCCGGAGGACTCTCCCCCTGGGGTGGGAGAGTGTGGTTTAAACATGCCCTTCTCAGTAAAGAGGAGCTGGGATTCATTAAACGAGGCTGTGGCCACAGAAGTCCTAAATGTCTACTTTAAAGAGGAGGGTCCTGCTCAGGCCGTGCCTGTGGGTGACTCAGGAAGCGGGCAGGAGGATGACCACGGCTCCGACAGGGATGGGGAGACAGTAGATGAGGACGCAGCGGTGGCAGAAGCCCTTGCGGCTTTAGAAGCTGCTACCGCGGGAGAAGATGTGGATGAGACAGATTAGAGAAGAGGATCTGTGCAGGCAAGTAAGCTAGTGTCATGCTGAGCGTGTGAAGGTTCATTGGCTCCCACAAAGCGGAGCTGATAGTTCTGCCAGCATGCACCCGTGCACCTTACCAGTTGTTTACATCCAGCATCTGTTCTAATTGTCAGTACCTGTTCTAATTATCAGTACCGCTTGTTAAGTATCTGTAACAACGCTCTGTGTATTTGGGATGCCAGAAGAAAAATCTGCATGGGTTATCATGCCCACGTCCACAGCAGAAATGAAGCAGCCTGCTTGCCAGCCCTCAAAGCTCTCCAGAACACCTGTAAGTCTGTAGAACGCGCTCAGATCCCAACGCTCCTCCCCCCGCAGAGCGTTCTGCTTGACTATAAATTCCTTACCTGGCTTTTGAGAGCCAATCATGGTCCCCAGCCTGGAAAAGGTCGCTACCCCACTTAAAGTGCCTAATGTGTCCCCAGAGTGTGGCTTTTAACTTCAGGGACAATTACCCAGGGAACTAATAACTAACCACTTGTTCAACAGCAAGTTAAGTCCAGCAGCTTTCTGGGTGGAGAAGTCACCAGTAAACAAATGGTTAGTCATTGCTATGATGTGATTTTAAAAACACCTTGACCTTAACTTTTTTATATTATTACTTTTTAATCTCCTTTGGGGTTGGGGAGGCTGGCCAAAATAATTCTTAAAACTGCTTGTGTCATATTTGGGTTTTAAGTTCATGAGTTTCAGAACAGCAAAGCCATATATGGAATGTTTTTTGCCAGTGAATGTCTGATTCTGATTAAAATATAACCACCGTATGTGTTTCTTTGTCTTAATTCAGAGATAGTTCTGATTTTGCCAGACTGGGTATCAGTGATGCTGGAAATGTCCTTCAATTTAAAGAGCTAAACGGCAAAACCTCTCTGTCCATGGAGCTCTCTGTCCCTTGAGGTCAAACTGGTGATCCTAAAATGACATGTGCCAATCTTACCTAAAAGATGAACAAGTTCTCTCTGGATTCAGCCTTCTAATTTACAAAAACAAAGGCAGTCATTCTGGGTGGCGCCTCTGGCTCAGTGAGTAGGGCGCTGGCCCCATATACCGAGGGTGGTGGGTTTGAACTCAGCCCCAGCCAAACCGCAACAAAAAATAGCCAGATGTGGTAGGGAGGCACCTATAGTCCCAGCTACTCGGGAGGCTGAGGCAAGAGAATCACCTACACCCAAGAGCTGGAAGTTGCTGTGGGCTATGACGCCACTGCACTCTGCCAAGGGCGACAAAATGAGACTCTTAAAAAAAATAAAAAATAAAAAGGCAGTCATTCTGACATAGGCCATTGGAGAACTGAGATGAGTTAAGGATGCCCTGAGCTATCCAGAGAAACATACCATGGAAGTGCGTTAGTCTGGTGTTTCCTGGTACAGGCCCTGAAGTCTGACTATTTTGGTCCAACTTTGCCATGTGGCCTTGGGCAAGTAATTTATCCCTTCTCTGTGCCATTTATTAAGTGAGAATAATGATACTATGTGCTTGTAAAGATTAAGTGAAATTATGTGTTTGGCACAGTGCCTGGCACTCAGCAAGCACTCAAAAAATAGTTTGTTCTTATTCATTAAAAATGAATTAGAATAGTTTTTATTTGTTAAAAATGAATTCTTTAAAATTTTTTTACATCATCACAATCAAAAACTCTAATACTATGAAGTATTTATCATGTCATCCCTTTGTTTTGGTAATTCCACATAAAACATGACTTCTGAGCCTCCCAGCACCTTTAAGGATGGCACCCTTGTAAACGCTTACTGGGCATACAATATCTATCCTCCGTTTATTTAGTATTGTATTGACAAGCCACCTCTACCTAGAAGGTCACACAGAGCCTTTCAAAGATAAACTCTGGGCATTGTTCATTGCATTATAGGTCTGTCTACTTGTTGAATTTAGTATACCAATGCTGAATATTTTAGAATGTATATTCCTTCAACAATTTCCCAAGGGTATCAGAAATGTTATGTTCTACCATACAGGATCTGTATCTTATACAAATAGTGGTTTATTTACTTTATATGTAAAAGAAGTCTGAAGGTAGCAGTCCAGCCTGGTAAGGTGTTCCATGTATCAGTGACCCAGGCTCCTTCACTCATTTTGGCTTTCTTCTCAAGGTCGCCTGCTGGTCTTAAATGGCTGCTGGAGCTCCAGACATTACATTTGCATTCCATGCAAGAAAAAGAATAAAGGACCAAAAGCCCCACTCCCTCTCTCTGAGGGGCCTCTCAGAAGTGTAGTCAACCTTTCTACATATACCTCATTGACCAACATCTGGTCACCTGCCCGTAGCTAGCTGCAAGAGAGATTAGGAAAAGTTCTTTCTAGCTGTGAGCTGTTTACTCCCAAATAAATTCAGAATGCACACACGGAGAAGGGGAAAATGGACAGTGTGTTTTGAGATAGTTACCTTATAGTCTCTGCCACACCAGGTCCTCAAAATGTAAAAGCCTACATTATAGCTGGTTTGCAGAAGATTGACAGACATTTAGCAGGACACGGAAGGGGCACGAGCACTGGAGAGCAACCATCTTCCCAACGTCCTGGTGGTCTCTCCAAACCAGATGCCAAAAGAAAACTCAGAGAAGGAAGAGGTAAGGGATTGAGCAGGCAGGCCTCTTTCTCTTGCCCAGAAACACACCTTTGCATTTACATATGTAATTTTACATTTGGAACAGCTGCAGAGAGTTCACCAACTTAAGTTTTGAAGATTGTGTTTTGGTGAATAACTATTCCAAAAGATGGCCAAGAATTCCAAGTGTGTTTTAAAAGCAGTCTTGACCCCTTTCACCTTTACCTTAATATCTGGGCTCCCCCAAAGGCATTAGAGGAAAAGTGAATCTTTTGGTTGCAGTTCCAGATTTAAGCCTTATCCACCAGGTTGTCTAGTAACTCCTGAGCACCCTGATGTGTGTCTTCTCTCTGTAGCTGCTGCCAACATCTATCAGAAAGGCAATGCTGAAAACAGTGACCCTTTTCAAACATTCTGGACAATTTGAAAGCATAGATGAATTCTGACTATAGGGCATGAGCTGTGATTAGATACAGACATCACAGTTCTTCAATCCTTAGCCAACTGCACTGTGGGGATATTTATCAGGTTAAATCTTGATTTTGATTTAAGATTATTTTATCTATATATTACATACAGGTTTCTTGCACTAAGCAATTACATTTAACTTTTTGTTGGGAGAAATTAAACTGTCATATAAAGGTGGAATTAAATGTTTTTCTCTAGTTGCCAAGACAGATGGTAACAAACCATTATAACTGGCTCCCCCTAAAGAATGAAGAGGACTGCAGGTGTCGTGCACAGCACGTGCCCACTCCTAAGTGTGGCCATTTGTCATTTCCCTCTTTCTGCTCCACTGTGTCTCTCAGGTTCTTTCTACCTCTCCCATTGGTACCTCCATGCAGGAGGCTCTGGGAAGAACGAATGAGGCACCAAATGCAAGGACACAGCAAAGGGCTCCCGACCTCCCCGGTTTGGTCACCTGGGCGCAGCCGCGCAGCAGACAGAGCACAGTCACTACTGCGATACTGGGCACAGCCTCCAGTCTCGGACTTTCTTCTTCATCAGGGACCCTCCCATTTGCATACGACTTTATGACAAAAATGTAGATAGTCTTGCTATCTGGTTTTGCTTTGTTTCTTCTTTAGATTAACCTCATTCATTTTAAAATCCTCTGTTTTGGTAGTTGGTGACAAACGCAGATAAGCTGACATTTGTTTTTCCTGGCAAATGCTTTTCCTGTTAACTTACAGGAAAATAAGTAACTTGTTTATTTACTTAACAAAGTTATAGCAAACATAACTAAATTCTGAAGCACCTCTGGCCATTTTAAGGTACGACATTTCATGCAAGCCAGTACACTGACTGCAGATGGTATTTTTTTTTCACAGTTCACAGCAACCTCAAACTTTTTGGGCTTAAGTGATTCTCTTGCCTTAGCCTCCCAAGTAGATGGGACTACAGGCACCCACCAGAATGCCCAGCTGTTTTTTTGCTGTAGTTGTCATTGTTGTTTAGCAGACCTTTTGTTCAAACCTGCCAGCCCTGGTGTATGTGGCCTGCACTCTAACCACTAAGAATGGGTGCCAAGCCTACAGATGATTTTTGCATGCACACTAAAGTGAGTCACCGAAGGCCACGGCTCACACCTGCACTCTGGGAGGCTGAGGCAAGCAGATCACTTGAGCTCAGCAGTTCAAGACCAGACTAAGCAAGAGCCAGATCCTGTCTCTAAAAATAGTTGAGCATTTTAATAGTCCCAGCTACTCGGGTGGCTGAGGCAAAATGATCACTTAAGCCCAAGAGTTTGAGTTTGCTCTTAAGTTAAAATGACATTTTCATGACATCAGTCATAAGCCAGGTGACAAACCAGTAAGGACTATTACAGTTGTTGTTTTTCTTATGACAAAATTTGTGTGTGGGGGGGGGGAAATAGAGTGCCCAGCCATCACAGCTCACAGCAACCTCAAACTCTTGGACTCAAAAGATCCTCTTGCCTCAGCCTCCCAAGTAGCTGGGACAACATTATTACAGTTTTTTAAATTAAAAGTTCATAGGGGAAAAAAATAGGTACTGAGAGAAAAAATTCTGCAAATTTGTGGTTTTTGGTATTTTTATAGGCACAAATATGGCTTTTCTTATTTATTTATTTGTTTGTTTTTGAGACAATCTAAACCCTTAAGAGTACTGTGACATAATAGCTCACAGCAACCTCAAACTGTTGGGCTCAAGAGATCCCCTTGCCTCAGCCTCCCTAGTAGCTAGGACTACAGGTGCCCACCACAACACCTGGCTAATTTTTTCTATTTTTAGTGAAACAGGGTCTCACTTTGCTCTGGCTGATTTCAAACTCTTAAGTTCAGGCATTCCACCTCTTTAGGCCTCCAAGTGCTAGGATTACAGGTATGAGCCACTCTCTCCCACCCACCACAGGCTGGGCTTAACATTTTTAAAAACAGCCCTCTGTGAAGCACCAGGCGCAGCCAGGCATGGCCTGAGTCTTGCAGGTGCATCCTCTCTTTTAAGTCTGTCAGGATCATGGGAGTTGTAGGAAAATGGAGGAGTGGAGACCCAAAAAGCTAGTAATAGTCACACACAGGCCCAGAATCTCAACTGAACTGAGACTGAACAAGAAGTGCTTTTACAGAATGTATAATAAAACTCTGTGGTGACACCCACACTGCCATTAGACAAAACCTCAGGCTGAATCAAAATGTGAGCTGTCCCTCCAGACTCAAAGTTTCTAAGAAAATAAAGCCTTAGGTTTCTAATCTGTTAGGGAACAGAGCAAGCACATCAATAAATTGAATTCTAAGATCCAAAAGGACTCTGGGAGCCCGAAGTGGGTGGATTGCCTGAGCTCACGACCAGCTTGAGCCAGACAGAGACCCCATCTTAAAAATACCTGGGTGTTCAGCACCCCCAGAGGTTGGGGGTTTCTAAGGTTGGGTCAAGGTACCCTACTGTACACCTATATTGCTCCCGTCTCCCTCTTTCTGTGCCTCTCTTCTCTTTGTAAATATTCCAGTTTACTCATCCCATCCTCTCTTTCTCTTCCCCCCCCCCTTTAATCTCTTTTTTCTCTTCCTGCTCTTCAATCTTCTTTTCCTTCTGGTCCTGTACCAAAAGGACTCATTGAAACCCTAGTCCAGAGGCACAGGAACTTAAAGAGCAAGAGGAAGTAAAAGGAAAATTAGGGCAAGGAAACAGATAAATCACTCATGAAGAAGAACTAGCAGAAAAATCCTGGTAACATGAAAA